AAAATATATGTATGTACGTATGTATGTACATACATCAAATTGCATAGAATATAAACATAAATTTTAGAAAACTATTAAATATATATGCATATAAGAATTATTTATTTATATTTTTTACATAATGTTTCATATTAAAATAATATAATATAAGAAAATTATATTAATTAAAAACAAGCGCTTTTATGTACAACTGAAAACATATTAAAAATACGTACTGTACATATTGTGTGCAAAAGATCGTATGTATTAATAGACATGCGATTATATTCATCGATATGCATGTCAATAAATTCATGCATGAAATGCATGTAACAATGGACAATAAAGAATAACTGAATTACATCATATCTTTTCTCATTCTTTTGTATCGTTTCTTTATCTTCTTCTTATTAACTCTAATCATTTACATTTTCCTTTTCCTTCTTTTTTAAGTATTCTCATCAGAGGTATTCAAGTAAAACTTTGATGCGCCTTTTTCTTATCGATATCAGATTAAGTAAGTATCTGTTAATTGTGCTGTTGCCGTTTGAGATTAAACTATTTCCAATAAGAATAATTTTCTCTTATTAATCGCTCTATGTAATTGTTCTGTGTAATCGCTCTGTTTTATCATTCTATTAAGAATTCTTATAATTGCATAGTTAATGTAATAGCAAATTATATTAAAATTTATACATATTAAAATAAAAATTCTAGATTATAGATATATAAAAGTAATGTATCTGTGTTGTATATGTATGCGCAAAAATAATTGTAAATTAGAACAATATTTATATATTAAATAATAATTTAGATTTTTAAATATAATGAAAGATTTGTTAATAAAAGGAAGAAATATCAGGAATAAATATATTATTAATATGATATACACATTGTTATACTTATTAGAGCTAAAAAATTTAAAATACATTATTTGAATTATTTCATACTATCAGCTTCAATGATTGTAATAAATAAATTACTATATTAATATTTGTTACATACGAAGAATAAAAAAAGATGAGCTTTATTATTTAATTTTAGAAA